TGTCAGAAACTAGAAACAGGTGTGAGCATCAGAAACTAGAAACAGGTTTGTCAGAAACTAGAAACAGGTGTGAGTGTCAGAAACTAGAAACAGGTTTGTCAGAAACTAGAAACAGGTGTGAGCGTCAGAAACTAGAAACAGGTTTGTCAGAAACTAAAAACAGGTGTGAGTGTCAGAAACTAGAAACAGGTTTGTCAGAAATTAGAAACAGGTGTGCAAAGAGAGTGAGCAAATGAACCATATGGGGAGGGTTGATGGGATATTTGAGATCTTTTTTCAGAAGAACAAAACATTAGCAACTAAGAAATAAAATAAATGAAAACCTGAACATTAAGATAAAAATATTAAAAACAGAACCACGAAGGTCATAACAATCATGCAATGCTAACCTCCAGACCTTTTCTAGGGTGATCCTGGTCCTCCTGGTCCTCCTGGTCCAATTGGGGAGACTGGATATGGACTTCCTGGTCCAAAGGTAAAAACAAAACTGTTTTATTGTCACTGAGATTGAAATGTTAGAATCTCTGATTAACATTTCCATGACAACATGTGACCTGTTCTTGGATTGGTCCAGAACCAGCTCTGAAGTTAGACTTGTAAGGAACAAGAGCTGAAGAATCACAAATGAGCCGAAACACTGTTAGCAGCTAACGCTAACAATTTCCAGACCCAGCTTCTCAAACATTTAATCTGAAATCTTTTACACCAAATAATCATGAAATTGTTTTTTATCTTCTTGTTTCAGGGAGATCGAGGTGATCCAGGTCCTGCAGGTCCATACGGTCCCAAAGGAGATGGCTATCCTGGACCCATGGTGAGAAACTGGATCCAACCATAAACCCGTAAATCTGTACATCCGTACTTTCCTTGTGTACGTCAAACCCAGTTTTTCTTCCTGTCTTCAACGTTCTGCTACTCACTTCCAGCTCCGTCCACCATCAGACGGACATTTATGATCCAAAAGAATCAGAATCTGGTCCACATGCTGCTGGTGCTTAGACCAGCGTCAAGAAAAAAATCCAATTAGTATTCTGATCATTGAGGACAAACGATTAAACCTTCTAAAGTTGTTTCTGTATCTCTGTACCTTACCTTGCTGCTTCTTGTTTTTTCAGGGCCCTCCTGGTCTGCCTGGACTGCCAGGAGAACCTGGTCCAGAAGGACTGGGTCTCCCAGGACCAAAGGTGAGGATGTGGATCAGTAAGTTCTGATGACGGTTTGCTTTGGGGCGCTTTAAAACTCCCAGCTGAGCAAAGTTTAACTTGATTTCTGCTCCCGAGACCCGAGTCCAGAACAAGAGGAAGATGATGGGCCCAGCACCTGCAAGAGGGTCCACATGGGTCCGGTGCACGGGACTTTGAGTGGTAGCCAAAGGTGGGGGCCTTGGCTCTCTGACCCTGGTTGACCAAAGTTTGTATTTTTTTAAAAGATAAACTAAAAGTCCAATCCAGTAATGGTGCTTAAGAAAACCTTTGTTCAATGAATGAGACAAACCAGCTCCTCCTCGGGGTTTGATTTCTCCTCCTCCTCCTCAGGGTTTCTCCTCAGATTGTGTTTCTGTGGTAGAGGTGTGGACTCAGCAGCTCCTGTTTGTGTTTTTTTGCAGGGGGACTCTGGATTTAGAGGGCTGCCCGGTCCACCAGGACCTCCAGGTGAAGGTATCCAAGGACAGCCGGTAAATTTAAACCCTTTTGAAGTCTAAGCACTGACAAGATTTCTGTTAAACATGATTTAACCTTTTTTATCATGGTTCAAAGTGACAGTTCTTAATTAAAACTGGTTGGTGAGCACCAGGGATGCTTCAACATGGCCTGAAACTTTTTGAGGTTTCTCAGTTTCCCTGCACGAGTCAGTGGTTCTTGTTGCGTGTTCAAAAAATGTATCCCTTTTATTTTCTAAGATGTGGGAGTGCATCAAGGATAACCTCTGAGCCCCTTCTTGTTTGCTCTGGTCATGGACTGACTAACAGATGAGGTCAGGCAGGAATTCCATGGACTATGATGTTTGCAGATGACATTGTGATCTGTGGTGAGAACAGGGAACAGGTGGAAGAGAACTTGGAGAGGTGGAAGGTATGCACTTGAAAGAAAAGGAATGAAAGTCAGTCGTAGTAAGACAGAGTCCATGTGTGTGAATGAGAGGGAGGAGGTGGAACAGTGAGGCTACAAGGAGCAGAGGTCACAAAGGTGCAGGACTTCAAGGACTTGGGGTCCACTGTCCAGGAACATGGGGAGTGTGGTGAAGAGGTGAAGAAGAGAGTCCAGGCAGGATGGAGTGATGGAGAAAAGTTTCACGAGTGATTTGTGACAAAAGGGTGTCAGCAAAGATCAAAGGTCAAAGTTTACAAGACAGTGGTGAGACCAGCTATGTTGTATGGTCTGGAGACAGAGACATGGACAAAAAGACAGGAGACAGAACTGGAAGTGTCAGAAATGAAGATGTTGAGGTTCTTCTTAGGAGAGACAAGGATGGAGAAGATCAGGAATGAGATCATCAGAGGTACAGCACAGGTTGAACAACTGGGAGATAAAGTTAGAGAGGACACACTGAGATGGTTTGGACATGTCCAGAGGAGGGACAGTGGTTTGGACATGTCCAGAGGAGGGACAGTGGTTTGGACATGTCCAAGGGAGGGACAGTGGTTTGGACATGTCCAGGGGAGGGACAGTGGTTTGGACATGTCCAGGGGAGGGACAGTGGTTTGGACATGTCCAGAGGAGGGACAGTGGGTATATTGGTAGAAGGATGTTAGAAATGCAGCTGCAGGAAAAAGACAAAGAGGAGACATATGGGTGTAGTTGGAGAGGACATGGAGGTAGTTGGAGTGAGGACAGAGGACACAGAGGACAGAGTGAGGACAGAGGACAGAGACGGAGACACACACATATGTCAGGTGTTTGGTAGCAGCTCCTTGTGTTTGACTTGTCTGGATGTGTGATGCTGAGATTTTATTTTTTATAATTTCTTCCTGAGATTCAGTCCCAGGCCTCGTCTTCACTTCTGTCAGATATATTTTTCATTCAACTTTATTTGTCCACGTTAGTCTCATTGAACCTCGAGGACTCATTTACAAGAGAGACCTGTTCCAGACAGAACATATAAAGTACAGACGACAATAAACTACAGTAAAAATGCAGTTAAAATAAGAATAGTGTATAAAACAATAAAAAAGGGTGAAATACTAAAAACAGGAACATATTTACTTTGATTTTTCTATTGACATTATCAAATGTTTGAAACACCTTAAAGAAATCAAGGAGGACAACTTCAGTTCCTGTTGCAAGGTGTTCCAGGTGCAGGAGCTGAGCAGGAAAAGGCCTTTTTGCAAAGTTCAGTCTGCACTGAGGGAACGCTGCAGGTAATGATGGACTGAGAGCGCACGCTGTAGCTGCACTGACGACATGACGTGGGAGGAGATATAAGAAGGAAGCAGACAAAGGAAGGATTTATAGATGAAGATGAACCAGTGGGAGAGCCTACGTGTAGATAATGATGACTAACTGACCAAGGAGTACAGGGTGCAGTGGTGGGTACGGTAGTTACAACCAGTTATGAATCTTAGTGCACCATGGTAGGCAGCATCCAACATCTGCAAGCAGCTGGCAGGAACATTCATGTAAATAATGTCACCATGGCCAATGACCGGTAGGAAGGTAGTGGTTACAAGACGTTTTCTGGCATTCAGAGTTAAACAAGATCTATTTCTGAAAAAGAAACAGCTTTAATTTCAGTTTCTTTATTAAGTTTTAGATATGTGGTTTAAAAGACAGATGTGCATCGACCAAAATCCCCAAGTATTTGTAGAATCTACAAACTCAATAGGAACATGATGCATGGATGAGAGAGGATTTAGCACCAGCTTGAGATGGAATAAGTCTGACTAAACTATCAGATGCAGACTGTAGAAGATGGAAAACCTTGGCAGCCGTGTTAGCTCGTCAATAAACAACAGTGTCGTCGGCATAGAGCTGCAAGGATGTGTCAGGAATATTTTGACCTATGCTATTTATATAAATTGTAAAAAAGAGTGGGACCTAAAACTGAGCCTTGTGGCACACCATTGGTGATGTTAGGTAGCTAGATGAAGTACTGTTATGTCGAACACATTGCCTCCGACCTGAGAGATGGTTTGAGAACCAGCCAAAAGTGTTACTGTGTGTGTGTGTGTGTGTGTGTGTGTGTGTGTGTGTGTGTGTGTGT